GTTTCGGGCGTTCTGAGGTTACTTTCAGGAATCTGACCTTCCTGATACTACAAAGTTGGAAAGCTTCTACGTGTGAATCATTTTAATGTGCACAGGTGATGTAGTTATATGAAAGGCTGCTCCATAGAGGAAAACAGGGCGCTTCTAGTTGATTCCCAAGAATTTGTGGACTTTTGACATCTTTCGAGGGACCACCTCCGATGTCAGATCAAAAACCACTTTTTTCGGTGTTTTGAGTCATGTTCGTTCCCGGAGAAGAACAAAGGGTCATTTATCTTGCTTGCTCAAAATATCCGTCTGTCGATGGTATTGTCATGAGCGAATTCATCGTAAGCTCAATACGGATTTCTTTGGAAACGCATGCTGACCACAGGCGTATTTTGATGAATTGGCTCAGTTTGTTTGTGCTTACCCATATGTGAAGTACATGGCTGTTTACACTTAATATTCAGTTGCTTTTGAGTTCACCAAGAGTTGTTAGCATCTCGGAGTTGATAGGATTAAAACCCTCTTCAAACATCTAGAATCGCAAGATTCGTGGCACCGGGATTCCGTCACAAACCACCTACTTCCCACTACCTTTCTTTGCGAAACATGATAATTCCATCCGGATTGGGAAGGCCAGAGAACTTGCGTCACGTCAGCTTATCCGTCAAGAGTCGAGTTTACAGTGCTGCAGTGTGATTCATGATGCTATACGGGTCAGAAAGGTGGCCGTTGTGAACTGAGGACGTCAAAAGACTTTCAGTGTTTGACCATCGATGTCTTTTGGGCGTTGCCCGAATCTGGTGGGATGGGAACATCAACAGTGCTGAAGTACGTCGAAATGTATTCGGAAGAAATAACTCGCCCACAATAGATGAAGTGATCACATGCCACAGGTTAGGTTGCATTGACTATGTGCTCCGTATGCCAGTCGACCGAGTACCTAGAACGGTTCTTTTTCCAAAACCACATGAATGGTGGAAACCAGCCAGGGAAGGTCAAACAGTGACTTGGCAGCGAAGTATGAAAGCCATTACCAGCAAATTCAGCTGCGCTACAAATGAACTGAGTCTGTGCTAAAAAGCCAAAAAGCCGTGTGAAGTTGCGTCGTCCTTGTCGGTGGTGAACAACACC